GGGATAATTAGATACAAACATTCCAAAATCCAAAATCTAAAGCATAGACTATTTAGCCTGTGCTTATCAGACACCACAAAAATGTATGACCCAAACTAGCACTCTACTTTTAAGCTCCAAGTTCTGAACGCTTATTTTTTTCCACTTCTCTGTATGATAAGTCTCTATGCCACAAAGTAAATAATTAGGATATATTAAAAAAAAAATGCTCCCAGGGCTGGAGAGACAGTGGTTAAGAGTGCTTTTTGCTCTTGCAGAGGACCTGAATTCATGTCCCAGTACTCACACTGAGTAGCTCCTGTCTCAAACTCCAGCTCCAGGGAGTCTAACACCCTCTTCCAGCCTCTGACACTTGTGCACATACACTCACAGACACACGCACATGCATATAACTAAAAATAAATCTAAAAAAATTAGAAGAGTAAAATACTCTTACCTAAAAGCAAATAAACTGTTACCATCTTTAACACTTGAAAATACAGTTTGGCACTTGATTTTAAGCAAAGTCTTTATCATTTCTTCCCTGAAAGAAAAATACTACTATGCTCCCTCCAGTGATTATAAATATTCCTTTAGCTCAAAGCAGAATTCAGTTATTTTTTTATATACCACAAATGTAAATACCTAAAGAATACATGCAATTGATGACACAAACATCAATGATCCTCAATTTGTTTTATATCAGATATCTGTTTAGGAACCTGAAGGTATTACAAAATTCTTTCAGTTAAAAACAGATAAGAGGGAGACAAGACGGCTGAGCAGGTAAAGGTGCTTGCTGTCAAGCCTGATGACCTATGCAACCCTGTGGGGGAAGAAGAGAACCAACCCCCACAAACTGTCCTGACCTGCACACATACTCCATGGTACACACATGCTCATACACATATAAAACATATGCATGAGCACATAAAACAAAATCTTTAAAAAAAAAAAAAAAAAGACTTGCTCTTAATAATATGGCAAGATGCCAGTAATAGGAGAAAAGTCCAAAGACATCCAATATATTGAAAACATTCACAAACTGAATTTTTTGGCTTGAAAGAGGTTTAAAATTGCAAAACTGCTGGGCGGTGGTGGCACACACCTTTAATCCCAGCACTTGGGAGGCAGGCGGATCTCTGTGAGTTAGAGGCCAGCCTGGTCTACAAGAGCTAGCTCCAGGACAGGCTCCAAAGCTACAGAGAAACTCACGAAAAAAAAATGCAAAACTAAGCTCATTTCAGCATTTTGAGAAACTCAATTTCAAGTTTTTGCAAAGAAAACATCTTAGGACTGGCATATTGCTCACACACTGTCTTCTTAAATTCCAACTCAGATAACAGTGGCCCTCACTAACATGGCACGGCCCGGAGCTGTGCCATCCTCACATTATACGCCAGGAGAGAAGGCTTATAAGGAACTCCTTGTGCAAGATAACATGACTGGTGGACAAGCCAACACTTGCGGGCCAGCACAGCTTCTCCTGCACAGGACTGTGTACAATGTACAAGTACAATGGAAACACTAAAATATCAGATGCAAACCCTATGAAAAACTGTTCTTTTCACAAATATATCTGAACAAACCTGCAATTATACTCCACATCCTACTCTACACTCCACAAGGTAGATGTAGAAGATAAAAGAATCCAGTTATTACAAAGGCACAAAACTAGATCTTGATGGTAATTCTGAAGTTCTTACAAACTGTTACTCTAAACATAAAAATCGAAGCTTCATTTTGGGACTGAAGTCTAAGTGGTTTTAGGGGCTAGAGAGATGGCTCATTGAGTAAGTCACTTGCAGGATAACAGCATCCACATAAAAGTCAGGCAAGCATGTGGCCCATACCAGCTCCCAGGAAGCAGACTGGGATCCCTGAAAAAAGCTAGACAGTCAAATCAGGGAGCTCTGGACTCAAGATATAAAGAAGAGAGTCATCTAACCTACACACACTCCCAGACACACAAACACACACAGAGAGACACTTGTAGGTACTCATGCACAGAAATAAAGTGTTTTTAGGGGCTGGAGAGATTGTTCAGCACTTAAGGGAATGGCTCTTCCAAAGGACCAGAGTTCTATTCTCCGCACCCACATGGTAGCTCACAACTATCTATAACTCCAGTCCAAGAGGATCCAACGCCTTCTTCCGGCTTCTATGGGCACTGCACACACATGGTCCACAGACAACACTGCAGGCCAAAACACCCGCACACATACATACATACATACATACATACATACATAAATACATAAATAAATGGAAGCTGGGAGACAGACAGCTCAGTGACACAGAACTTGCCCGGCACACATAAGGCCCTGGGTTCTCTCCCAGTACCACAAAATTTAAGAGGCATTTTCATTAGGAAGAATTTTACCACAAAGAGACAAAGAATTCTTTTGGTTGAATAGTGCCTCCAGTCACTATCGTTCTTGAATGTCTGAAGTATCTACAAAATAATCTAAAAAACAACTATGGAGACAGAAATAATGACACCTCCTTCATTATAATCCCATCTTCAAAGAGGTAGAGTTTTTCAAAACTCTTTCACTCAACTCTAAACTTGTACAATCGTCTAAGAGGAAGAAATAAGGAAATAAAGGCGTGAAAAGGACAGGGTGAGGGGCAAGAACCACAAAGCAGGTGCTACCTCTGCTCCCTATTTGACTAAGCGCTGAGTTCGCCAACCCGGATAACTGTCAAGGGCTCTCTGAACTGGGGCAGGTCCAAAGAGCATCCACAGCAACCGCGCTGTGGGGAGGCTTCAGTGCTTCTCTAGTTTCTTTGAAGCAAGGTCTCACTGTGAAGGCCAGGCTACCCTTAACCGCACAGTGCTGCTGTCACAGCCATGTGCTACCAGTGGTGTCCTTCAAATCTTGACTTTAATATAGATAAGCAGATAAACATAAACACACACAGAGAGATAAATACATAAGCACTGAACTTCTACGGGGGGGTTCCTTATCAGTAAGATGGGTCCTTATGGTTCCAAAAACACTTTTGATAACAAAATAGAGAAAATTCAAAAATGTGTATGTGTAAAGGTCAGCATACCATTTTCATAGAGAGAGCTGAGGAAAAGGTGGGCCACTGCATATGTGCACAGGACCACTTACGACTGTTGCTTTGTACAAAAAAATAACACCAAGGACACAACTATAACAAAAGACGCAAAGCAGAAACTTTCTCTTCATTTTCTGTTACAATTTTCCAAGTAGTCAGACCTCCCACATGGTACACACTCGAATATTCATTCAGGCAAAACACTAACACATATGATCAAAAATACATCTTAAAAACAAAAAAGAATATTAACAAAATCTGATCACAGTGCATATTGTATTCACACAAGCCTGAGTTAGTCAGGGAAATGCTATAGAAAATTAAGTCCATATTGATTCTTTAGCATTTATGTACAGTTAGTTCATTTGGGTTTATTCTGGGTTTTCCTAAAATAAAGCCATAAAAAAATCCTAGAAAGGAAATTCTTCCTGTATGTTCTTTCTATTCTGTAAATTACTTCCCACAAACTGGTAAGAACATAAGGCAAAAAAAAATCAGGCGATCTGCTATGAGTAGAGCAGGCGTCAGTTCAGCACCTCACAGTCCCTGCAAAGCCCAAGAACACACACTCCTCAATTCTGCACTTCCTCTACTCTCGCTGCTCTTTCCCAGAGACACAGAGGCCTACACGGGAAACCCTTGCTAGACCCTGACCCCACATCGTGTTAACAGGACTCACGTTAACAGCTAAAATGACTTAAGAAATAAGGAACAGTATTGCTGCATGCACATATACACTGAAATACTGCTCAGCCTGAGAAAAGAGCAAAACACTGGAAGATGCTACAACGTGCATGAACTAACATCATGCTAAGTGAAATAAATCACGCACAAAAGGGCAAATACTGACCCTCACAGAGGCACAGAGAGGAACAGAAGTTGTGAGGGGCTGACAGGGGAAAACAGTACAGAGAACATGAAAAAGTGGTAGGTGGATGGTTGTGATACACACACAATGGAAATGTATTTCCTGCCACCGAACTGAAACTTTAAAAATGGTTAATGAGGTTGGCCTGGTAGTGCACACTTTTAATCCCAAGGGTGATTAATGGAACACCTATGTCTATTTTAATTGGGCGTGCTCAAAAAGGGAGGGAGCAAGAATAAAATAAAACACGTGTCAGTATTTTTCTCATGCAGGCCTCTGCCTCTTACATGCAAATGCGAACCGGGCAGTGGTGGTGACACCTTTAATCTGGTGGGGGCGGGGATAGAGGGAGGCAGATCTTTGTGAGTTTGAGGCCAACCTGGTCTACAAGAGCTAGTTCCAGGACAGACTCCAAAGCTACAGAGAAACCCTGCCTAGAAAACGATAGATAGATAGATAGATAGATAGATAGATAGATAGATAGATAGATAGATAGATAGATAAAATTTTAAGTGAATGTTATTACCTATAATTTCTACTTCCTGGATCTTTAAAATTCAATATTTACTACCTCTTTTAATGGGGTCTACTTTCCACCAAGACAGTGTAATTAACAGATGTCAATAAGTAAATCAAGAATTTAAAAACATAGATGGGACCAATGAGACAGTTGAGCAGATAACGGTGCTTGATGCCAGATGGAACCACTTGAGTTCAATCCCTAAAACCCACATGGTAGAGAGAACCAACTCCCACAAACTGTCCTGTGACCTCCACGTGTGCATAATATGCAAGCACACACACACACACACACACAATGTTGGGAGGAAAAAAAACAGCAGACATTTCTGCCATTTCGTTTTCCAGCGTATCAACTGGAGAAATTCACCTACAACATGATAAGTCTCTTTGGATGAGCCCTTTAAAAAGGAAAAGCAGGTAGCCTTAATCCCATCCCAGGAACTGTGGGTCTGAAACCCGTTAACCCTCCAAGCTACACGCCTGAGGTTAGCAGATAGGAATCGCTCTGCAGACACTGACCAAGCAGGAGAGTGTGGAGCTGTCACCTGCTCAGGGGCCTTACCTTTCAGCAGCGGCAGAGGTGTGAGCTCAATGGGCTTGCCTTGAGATCTAAACTGTGAGGAGCTCTGCGACCTCTTCTGTCTGGCTTTTCTGACGGACTTCCGAGAAAATCCGTCTACTTTATCCACTGATGGAGGAGTAGTTGGTGCTGAGGACATATCCCTACTGAAGAGAGAGAACTGACGTGAACATGGTCCCAAGGTCAGAGTATTCGTGTTGTACATGTTCTAAAATTCCCATATACAATATTCATGAAAATGAGAATATGTACCAAAAAAAATCAATTAAGAAAAGTCTTGTCAAGGAGAAAAATATAAAAAGTAGCATGACTGCCATTAAACAAAATCAGAGCTCTAACGCATCACTGCTCCATTCTAGTCATTAAGAAGACATTAGCCGGACTCCAAGTGTCTGTATTGTCTGCACAGCTCTTCCCATCTTGGGATTCCTGAAGTAATTCCTGAAGCTATTTGGAAGCTGGAAAAACGTCCACTGAAACATTTTCCCAACATATTTAATATTATGAATGGGCTAAAACCCTTTCTGCATTTCAAGAATCTACACAAATGAAGCGAAGTATGTAGCCAGTAATCCCAACACCCAAAGAGATTAAGGCAGGAAGGATTATGAGTTCAAGACCAGCCTAGGCTACACATAGCAAGTTTGAGGCCAACCTGGGACACACAGAGTGAGAGGAAATTTTCTCTTCAAAAAAAAAAAGAAAGAAAGAGAGAGAGAAAGAAAGAGAGAAAGAAAGAAAGAAAGAAAAAGAAAAGAAAAAAGAAAGAAAAGGAAAAGAGAAAAAAACTCTGACAGTATCTGACAGCAAGATGGAATGCAGTTACTGACACTGCCTAAACAGGACTTTCAGTACAGTGTGCTGTGATTGCTATTATGAGCTACCACACCGCAAACGAGGACAGACTACTTGAAAGAGAACACACAAGAGGCGTAATTAAAATTATTTCAAAGAAGTTTTTTAAATGAATCCATCTTAAGTTATTCAAGTTTAATAAACAAAACTATGATAAAACCTAGCACCAAGTTGAACTGAAAATATAACTTCGCAGCCCTCCAAGATGAAGCTGAGCTTAAGTTCAAATATTGTTCAGTTCCATCAAACCGAAGGAACTCCCAGAACAGCTTTCTGCAATCTTTTCTAATCTTCTGAAAGTATTCAAAAGGATAGATGCTAAAAGTCCCAAGCATTAAGCTCAGCCTCATCCACCAAACTAAACAGATGTCATCATCCAGGTGGCACTGAGGCTCCATGAAAGATTAATGGCAGACGGGATAGGCAGACCGCATACACTCAAGTGCTAAAATGCAATCACTCAACTGTCACACCAACACCTAAGACAAGTGCCTTTCTAACTTCCCAAAGAGTAAGATCATTGTCTCCCCAATTTGTAAGGCCAAATAGTCATGTGGATTACCTGGATCCAATAAAAACAACATAAACCTGGGGGGAGGGGTGCAATATTAAGGTTTCGTTTGGAATTTTGAAGACTTCTTGGCTTTTTTCATTAGAAAGTTATTTTGCTTTGTTATCTATTTTGCTATCTAATTTGACCTTAAATGTAACGTGACAGGTAAAAAAAAAAAAAGGAACTGTAAATTATAAATACTGCCGAAAAATGTCAGATTACTTTCAAATATAATGATCACCATCAGCAAGAAGTCCCACATCACACTGCTACAGTTGTAAATTTAGGGGCGTGTATAGCGATCTCGCATGTGATTATTTAGATTTCATTCTAATCCCAGGAACACAGGATTTCTGCAAACCTCGTTCCTCCATCATCCATCCTGTCTCTCTCTTCCCTTATCTTTAACGATGGTAGCTTTCTTTTTAATCGTTTGCCTCTTATGCACGCAGCTCGGAATAAATGTCAAGGATCTCCACAACTCCAAAGCATTGCAGAACTGATGATAAGGGGGGGGGGGGGGGGGGGGGGGGGGGGGGGGGGGGGGGGGAGGAAACAGGTTTCACCTGGGCCACTGCGCCCTTAGCTTTAGCAATCTCCAAACAGCAGGCACAGCAGGCACAGCAGGCAACCGGGGCTTTTCCAAGGGAAAGGAAGGGATCAGGGAAGTGGCCTGTTTGTCTGTAGGTATGTTCACGTAAACCCCAAGCCCTGGAGAAGCTGCGCGGCCACAGAATCTTCCTCGCTGCTCCCCCCGCCCCCGCCAGTGGATAAAGGGAGGGGGGCAAGAAAACGCCTCAGAAGCGGCAGGGAAAGGAGCCGGGAAGGCAGAGTGGAAGAGAGGTGGTGGCCTCCGAAGCCTCTGCAGGTAGATCAGACAAGTGGGCCGGGCGCTTGCTCCCGCGCACCCCACCCCGCCGCACCCCTCGGCCGGCCGGGCCTGGCCTTCCCGAACCCGCCGCTCCGCAGGCTCCCCGAGAGGCAAGCCACGGGACCGGGAGCTGAAGTTACCTTGAAGCTCCTGGGGAAGAATCGAAGATGATCTGTGGCTGCACCGGGAGGGCGGCAGGCTAGGGGCCGCGGCGGGGGCGGGCGGGGGCCCGGGACGCACAGGGGGAGGTCCGGGCAGCGGCGGAGAGCCCCGGGCTACGGCAGTCCGGGGCGACGTCCCTCCGGTTCCGCGGTGGCGGCGGTGCTTCTAGGCCTCTCGACTGGCCCCAAACCTCAGCGTTCCGGCAGTGGCAGCGGCGGCCTCACGAGCCTCCCCCGCGAGCCCGTCCCATCAAATCGGCACCGACCCGGTTGCGGCTCGGCCGGCGGCTCTTCGTTCACATTCCCGGCGGGCGGCGCCTCTGCTCGTTGCACCGGACCCGGCGGCGGCGGCGGCGGCGACGCGCGGAGGGGGAGGAGGGAGGAAGCCTGGATCTGCGGCGGCAGCGAGCGCAGGAGTCGGGAGGAGGAAGCTGGAGCCGCCGGAGCCGCCGCTGCCAGAGCCGCCGTTCGCTACCCGCTAAGGGTCCCCGTCAGTGCCCCTTTCTCTCTCCTATTGTCAATATCACCGGGCGGCTGAGTCCATGGCACACGCGCAACCGAACCTCCTGGCTGGCAGAGCCCGCCTCCGACGCCCGCCCACTGGAGACTTCAAACGGGAAGCGAGACCTCATTGGTCCGCGAGCGCCTTCACTCCCCGGCCAGCATGTTCGGCTGAGATCTGATCGGGGATTGGTGGCGCGGGGAGGGGCGGAGAAACAGGAGGGGTGTGAAGAGACGAGGCCCTCGATTGGGCGAGGCGCCGGGGACCCGGATGCAGCCGCGAGCTCGGACGGCTCAGCGGCCGCTTCCGCCAGGGCGTCTGAACTGGGCAACTGCGGCGTCTGCTGGGCCTGAGAGGAGCGCCACGGGCGCGTCCCGAAGCTGGAGCTTCCGCACGGCGGGACCCTGTGGACGGCGAGCGTCTTCACTGGGGGTTCCTAGGGCCCCAGTGCGGCAGCCCCGGTGCCTCACGGTTCAGCCCGCAGAGCCCCACTCGGCACGGACCCCGCGCTCCCCTGTGCCACTCGTGTCGTCGCGGAGCTGGAAGCCGGCCGAAAACACCCCAGTGGCCTGCGCTCATTCGGGGGGAGGCCTGGCCACGGGTCGGTCTCTCACCTGGTCGCTTAGCCACCCCACCCCACCCCCCAAAAAAAATCCGTTCTGATTATCAGCTCCTTGATTCGCCTGCCGTTCTCGGTAGAGGCCAGCGCTCCGGTAGCTTCTGCGGATGGGAGCGCTGTCACCAGACTGCAGCCTCTCATTCAGATTACCCGCATTTGCTGTTTCTGGGCTCCGAAATACCCAGCCCCCAACTTGACAGATTTTAATTGATAGTTTGAGCCTTGAGTTTTTAGAGATGACTTACCTCTATCTAGAACGAGTACTAAAATCCTTTTTCCATATGTGGTTTTGCATCGTTGGTGAACCCTAGGCCAAATGGTACATTTCCAGAAGATATTCTTAGATTGTCAGTCAATTTGAATGTAAGCTGCATACATTTGTTATGGGGGGGAGGGGGGAAAAGCCTTAATAACTAACTACAAGCATCAAACTACCAGTTGCTCAAAATTTGGAAAACTGGAAAGGGACATACAGAAGAATTAATAATTCTCATAATCCATCAACCGGAGCTAACCCCTATCGTTCTGTTATAATTTTAGTATTTTTATTATTTCGTATATATTATTACACATACGTATATTCCCTTTCAAACTAGACTGCTTCATCCTGTAGACTAGTTTTCCCTCTCAGTATTACGTCGCATGTTCTGGACAGTTAGGGACTACACACACACACAGAGAGAGAGAGAGAGAGAGAGAGAGAGAGAGAGAGAGAGAGAGCTCTCTATCACATGCACAAATGATAACAATGCATTTACATTTCTTGTTTATGTCATTTGTTGCAAACTTCTATCCACTTGGGTAGAAAAGTAATTCTGTACTATGAAAAAGAATGTTACTGCCCCTAGCTGAAATGGGAAATACAGAAAGATGACTTAAATGAAAGCAGGCTCCCCCTACTGACTTCAGACAATTAGCAGCTGACTGGCTGCATGTCTGGTTTGTTTTGCTTTTTGTTTTTTGGTGGGTTTTTTTTGTTTGTTTTATTTTGTTTTTCTCTAACAGAGTTCATTACCCTAGGCTTCATACGTACATAGAACTCCTGAATTCCTGTCTAGCTCCTGCCTTCAAGTAACTTCTATTCCCATACCTTGGTCTTTAGAAATGTTTAATATCCTAGCCAAGCAGAGCCTGTTTCCTCAATGTCTGATTGGTAAATGCGAAATTAAAACGAAGGAAGATTTTGAAGCCAACTCAATTTCCCTTGGCAACAGTTGAACCGTTCAAAAGTAGTGCACGTTTGAAATGCTCACAGCTGTTGCTTAGAACATTTCACATTTTGTAGAGTGAGGATTGTGCTTGCAAATTATGGGTGTCTATAAAGACAATCCATTTCAAAGTCATTTCATTTTCTGTAAAATAGCTGAGCAACTGAAATGAGCAGGTCTTTTTAATGTGGAAGCATCCTTGCTTACATGAGGTTTGTTCTCTGGACCAATAATTTCATAAAGAGATCCCAGGGGAAGTGGGTGTACTCCGAGGATAGTGCAAGGCAATCCACTTGCAATGCAGAAGGAAGAAATAATGAGGGCATCTTATGTTTAAATTTAAAAGGCATTAAGCTCAATATTTTATATACAGAATGAATGGCCCCGCACTCCGTGGAATGGACCATTGGCCTGGAGCAACATCGATGCCCTCAGGGAAAAGCAGGGAGTGCCCGTCACCAGAGGAAAGCAGAAAGGGTCTCTTCTACCTGTTGTGCCGTCCTGTGCTTGCTGGATTCGATTAGTGTATTATCTAGGTTTAATTAAACTAAACCCACAAAGCAGACAACCTTACAAGAGTCCCACTGTCAGCAGCAGTGAACTATATATCCTATGTACAAGTGTTATGACTGAGTCATAAGATAATGAAGCTAATGTGCCTGTATTATGAACAAATACATATATTTAGAATATGTCCTCCCAAAAAATGTGCTGATGCGAGTGCATGAACAAAGGAAATTTGATACTGCTATTCTAGGCATATGAGAAGAAAAGCTTTACAGCCATGGGGAGGCCATTATCACGTGACACAATTCAGTTCATTTTTACCAGATGAAAGCATTCACTATGCAGATCCCAAAGCTGAGCTTATCAAGAGGGTGTTGGCAGCTTGACCACGTGATTGGAAGACACAGTATCAAGTTGTAGCTACCTAGTGAACTACAGGAGTGCTAAGACAAGCTGCAGCATCATGGGATTGATTACCTATTAGGCATCCTCTTCAGAGATAAACTAACTGAATTTGCGGGGGGGGGGGGGGGGGG